TAAAACAAGCTAGATTAATACAAGTTTTGAGAAGTTATTTGAAAGACTGTCGGCCGTGTATTATATTGTTGCATTGCAGCAGATACAAGTCTGCACTTTTGCTTTTAATGTTATTACTACTTTTATTATTATTATTAATTTAATATTTACATACTGTGAGTATAGAGATAATACCTTATTTGTAGTCTTTATTCCAACAAAGGTCTGGCCAAGAGGAACAGGACGAAATCTTCCATCAAAGTAGAAGAGTCCAATGTAGGGATTCACATGAAGGAACGAAGCAACATCGAGGTAGTTGGGAAGGGTAGCAGATAGACCCAGTATTCGGATCATGCTCTGTGTTGACTCAACCTACAAAGGAATAGTAAATAGTTACATATTAACGGTGGAAGAACTGACATCAATATTAACTCTGAAATAGTCTTTTTACATTCAGTATCATTTAGCCAGAACAAGACAGAAAACAATGGGGGAGCACAGATGGCTTGTTAAAGTAAGACATTGTAAGTTCCAGATGTCTGTAGATCTAAAACACTAGTATTTTGGTTTGGCCAGTTTTGATTCTATTGCAAATCTTTTAGGAAAAGGCTATGTATTTTATGTTTCTGGAAAGAGTTATTTTTCAGTATCTGCTAAGAAGAGATTGATAGAGAGAAGACTTCCCTGTGAAGTATCTTTTGTTGTTTAGAAACTACTACCTCTCTAAAATGTTCCATCTTCTAGAGTCCATCTTTGAGGGAGGCTTGGAATTTACAAGACCTGGGATCAATGACTCTCAGTCATTGTAAATAATCTGTAAAAAGCTGTTTGTAGGTTAATTTGTAACAAAGTGCAGTAAATATTAATTTAATTTTTGTGTTAATGCCTCTTCATCCATTTTATTGCCAGTAAAACAAAAAAAAAACATATACTCTGCTTGACAGGTTTCATATTGCCAAAGATAAGAGGTGTGTGGTGAGGTATATGTATTTTAAATTTTCACTGTTACCTTTACATAACTCCAATTTCCCAATCTAGAATACTTGTTCATCTGACATGCACACTGAAAAAACATACAGTAATCTCGTTATTTGTTACTTGTTATACAGTAACTAATATTTCCAAATTTCAGTGGGGCTGTAGTTGTAGCTGGCAAGCTAAAAAATAGGACAGCTTATTTTGTCCTTCTACTTTGGAGTTAGTGTTTGACTATGGTATTAGACATGACAAAGATTTGTTGTCTTTTTCACATCTGCAGTTAAGTTACAGTAATTGTGATGTCATTCAATCTGAATATCATACCACATTTTAATATTTAGTTAGAAATTAAGTTTGATGTCTTTAGCAAACATATTTTTGTGCTGTCATAAAACTGCAGTACATTCAAACAAATGGTGTGAGTATTTACACTCCAATTAGAAACAATCAGAGAAAAATGTATGTCATGTGATGTACTGTAGATCATTGACTATCCTATCTTTAACAAATACATTCATCTTTTTAACTGCAACAACTAAACAATGCAAAGAAGAAACAAATTGGGACGGGTGAAAGGATGTAGTAACAAAGGGATATACTGAATCTACTGCAGCCCTTGATCTGAAAGACAGGTGGGAGGGACCTCTTCTTATAGTTATATATAATTTACCACTAATAAACCTAAAATGTTTTTAATCAGAAATTATGTAGATAATAGATACTGTACCATCTCATACCAAATTTCGTGCTGTTTGAAGCATGCAAGCTATTACTGAACAACAGGAGAGCCTAAGAGCCACTCTGAATAGACCTTTACACATACGAATAGCAAATAAGAAGCCAACTATTCATGTGTACATGTATAAGCAAGGTTTCCTTCATGAATATAACAAAAATCGGGTGTTCTAAGACAGTGCACACTGTGTGTCATTTGTGCTAATCACTTTTCGAACCTGCTTTTGCTTTGGCTCCTTCCTAAACCTTTTCAACACTGCTGCTGAATTTAAAAAAAAGTCCTTTCATTGGCATTTTCACTGCCACGCTCTCTATTTAAACACTGTCATCTACAGTGGTGCTAGAAAGTTTGTGAACACTTAGGAATCTGCTGATTATTTTCATAAATTTGACCCAACATGGGATTACATCTTCATCCAAGTAAAAAAAATAGATAAAGAGAACACAATAAAACAAACAACACAAAAAGGATTTACTTTTTCATTCATGTAATGATCAAAATGTTCCAACATTAAATGTCTTTGGCGGAAAAAGTATGTAAACTTCTAGGATTATCAATCCAGTTAAGGGGATAATTAAGTCAGGAGTGTCAATCAATGGGATGACAATCAGGTGTGAGTTTGGGTGGCCCAGCCATATTTAAAAAACATAAACCTGAGTCTTCACTACCAAAGTCTGGTCTTCACCACACAGGTTTGTGAACGCATGCCATGCCTCAATCAAAGGAAATTACTGAGGACCTCAGAAAAAGAGTTGTCATCAGGCTGGAAAAGGTTACAAAACGATTTCTAAAGATTTTGGGCTTCACCAATCCACTGTCAGGCAGACAGTATACAAAATTCAACACCATTGTTACTCTCCCCAGGAGTGGTTGTCCAACAAAAATCACTCCAGGAGCAAGGCGTATATTCTGGGAGATCACAAAGAACTGAGTATCTTCTATGGATCTGCAGGCCTCTCTTGCACTGGCTAATGACAGTGTTCATGGGTAAACACTAATCAAGAATAATGTGCACGGGAGGATAGCAAGGAGGAAGCCACTACTCCCAAAGAAGAACATTGCTCCCAATTTAAAGTTTGCTAAAGACAACCTGGATGAGCCAGAAGACTACTGGAAAAATGTTCTATGGACAGATGAGTTTAAAATAGAACTTTTTGGCTAAAATGAGAAATGTTACGTTTAGCGAAAACCAAACACTGCATTCCAACATAAGAACCTCATCCCAACCATGAAACACGGTGGTAATAGTATCATGGTTTGGGGCCGTTTTGCTGCCATGGGACCAAGACGGCTTGTTAAATTCTGGATTGAACCAGCACATTCTACAGGAGTCAGAGTAATCGTCTGTGAACTGAAGGTCAACAGAAGTTGGGTCTTGCAGCAAGACAACGACCCTAAACACACAAGTCGGTCTACCAAAGAATGGTGGAAGCAGAAGAAATTTCGCGTTTCGGAATGGCCGAGTCAAAGTTCAGACCTTAATCCAATAGAAATGTTGTGGCAGGACCTGAAGTTGGGAGTTCATGCAAGAAAGTCCACCAATATCACTGAGTTAAAGCCGTTTTGTAAGGAGGAATGGGCCAAAATTCCTCCAAGCCGATGTGCAGGACTGATCAACAGTTACCATTTGGTCACTGCTGCTCAAGGGGGTCACACCAGTTACTGAAAGCATAGGTTCATATACTTTTTCTGACAAACACATTTAATGTTGGATCATTTTGATCAATAAAAGAATGAAAAGGAATATCTTTTGTGTGTTATTTGTTTTATTGGGTTATCTATCTGTATTAGATGAAGATTTGATCTGCATAAATTTGACCTAAAATGTTCCCGAAAATTCTAAAGGGTTCACAAATTTTATTTTATGTTAACTTCAGTAATAATAAATTATTAAAATAATATTTATGCTTTACCATCTCAATTTTATTGCAAATTATATAGTGTAAGGATGGCAGGCAAAAAGTCAGCTTTGGCCTGAACAGCGTCTGTCACATGATCATTTGCTGGAAGGTGATTGGTCATTTCAAGTTTTAAAGCTGGGGTTTCTAGGAGATGATATTCCTTTAAGATTGGTAATATATCTTGTTGCTCTTCTTTCGATTGATAACAGAGCACTCTTGATTACCCTATACTATATATCCTAACATACACAGATGTCAACATAAACACCTTAGTATTTTCCATAGAAAGCTTTATCAAGCTGTGTGTTTCCCATTTTATATGTTCAGTTTATGTTTTTAGCACCTGTACTGTATGTAACATTTGCACATCTTCAATGTCATTTTCCAGGTGTTTAAATTGTCTTGAATTTGGTCTTTTCTCAGGACTTAATCTGCAAGTGCTACAGTCTTTCCCAATCCTCCTGCTTTTGTACCATCTGTGAACTTGAGTACTTTACCACTTACATGTTACAAGAGAATGTAGATAATTTATATACATCTGGAAAAGCCAAAGTCATGAAACATATCCCTGTAGTTCTCTATTAATGGCATCCTCACAATGTGAGCATTCACTCCTTATCTGTACTGTCTGATGTCTAATGTCTGCAATGTGGGAATTATTTTTATGGTTAACTTTATTAAAAACCTTCTAAAACTCTAAATCTGTATGATCTGTGCATGCCTGTTACTATTGTACCAGTTTAAATAATGTGTAAGACCTTCCATTTCTAAAACCATGCAGCCAATCATATCAAATGCTATTTCCATATACAGCAGATGATTTCCAGTTCAGTTTTATCAACTTTGGTAACCTTACATTTACTGAAAGTATGAATTATTAGTCTACAATTTACTTAGTTAAGTTGTACTACCGTTTTTATGGATGAGCACTACAGTACAGCACTAATGAGTATTTCCCCTGTCTTGAGAGATTGTTGGAAGAATTCCATTAATGGCCTCTGAATAATCTCTCTTTTCCTTCAGTACAATTGGAAGAATATCATCAGGCTTTGGAGATTTGTTTACGGTAGTGTTATAGTATCTCAAATACTTCTGCCTGTTCTAATGTAGTATTTTTTTTAATAGAGTTTGTCTTTCATTAGCCTGAAGCATGTTGTTTATTAATTGTGTGGTAAACACCAGATTGAAATATTTAATTAATACATCAGCCAATTCCCTTTCATAAATTTGAAAGTTTACATAATTATAACAAATGTTTTTCTTCATTCGTTACTCTTCTTTGGATGTTGCAATAAAGGGAAACAAATCCTCCATTTCAATATTCATTTCCATCTCTCTCTTGGCTAAATAGCCTTTCTTGTGCTTCCAATAAATTATTTTCCTTTTAACTAGATCCTGTTCTACTTTGATAATTTTGTAAAGTGCTTTCTTTCTCCTTATATTTTCACTATTTTATTAAACAATGTAAGCCACTGCTTTGACTCTTTATTAATCCTGAGATAAATCTATTTTGTGCTTCAAACAAAATATCTTTAGATTGTTGCCATCTATTCTCTGCTGATTCTTATCTATCTTATCCCATTCTACTTATTTAAAGCTCTGTCTCATCCCTTGATAGTTTGCTTTCCTGAAATCATAAACCTTTAATGGACAACACTTTCAAACTATATTTCAAAGAACTCCATTTTGTGATCATAGGTCAACTGTTCTCTTGCCTGTTTTTCTACTGAATGAATATTTCTGAATATTTTAAAATA